ATTGAAGTAATTGTGTTGTTTATCGATTGTTGATTGAACGTACATAAGCGTATGTTGGTATATACAGTAAGCCCATGGTATAATAAACATCCCAACATTACAACACTACAGTGTTCTTAATTGCAGTTCTTACAAAGCTTTGCCCATAAATTGTATTGAACAGCAGCGAGCAGACCTTCTCAGATTTTAAATCACCAGCAATGTTAAGGATAGCCAGGGAGAGGGTAATTAGTTGCTAATACATTTTTGTTTAATATCATTTCTTTCAAAACAAAGAACAGGGCTGAGGGATGTCAGACTACTCTCGGAAGCACTGTATGATAAACGGTTGATCGGTAGATACCGTAACTTGTAACGTTATGAGAGTGATTAAACTCGGCTTTTGAAAATGCCGTAGAAATCTTCTTAGATGTATGTAAGAGATGGTGTCATATGCCAGCAATAACGCGCGAAATATTCTCCTTCAAGGCTTCGATCATCTCTAGCTTATCACCACCACAGGCCCACGAAGGCCGATAATGCGGTCACCAAAAATTTCCTTTAAAAAATATGTTCAAATATATTTTTTCGTTGGTTATATAGCATATAGCGCCGTCTTGTTGGAATCAAAGATCGCCCACATTACCGTCTTGCAATTCAGGCGCAAAGATAATGTTGCTCTAGAGCATTTCTATTGATCATGATGACCGGCTCATTTTTGACGATACATGGCGCAATATTTCTATCTGTCTATAGATCATTCCAAACAGTGACTTTTTGTAAACTTTTTTTTGGACTTATTCGGGTTTTCTTCGATACTTTGCTTCAAAGCTGCAATAGCAACTTCGCTTGACACAGTATAGGGTCTCTGAGAATACGTAATAATCCCTAGGGTAAATGTGTGGAAAAGTTGATCCATGGCTGCTCGACTTACCGACTATGCTGGGCAATTATGTCGACTGAATATTGGACGCAGTGAGCGTGTCTACTACCTTTCAATACTTTGAGCTATATCCAGTACCATAATTCTTGCGCAAAACTTTTCTTTTGTAAACTTGTAATGCACTACATTGCTGGATGGGAATGAAGTTAGTGGGAGCTAATGCTGATTCTTATAGAGATGAAATTATCTACGAATTCAAAGAAAACTCAGACTCGAGAGCGTTGATTGTTTGTTTGATGATATATGATGTCTCGCCTTGCCTTCGTTCACTGCACGGGTGTTGAGTCCATCAAAATATCAACGGTATACAGCAGCACTCATGCCATCTTAACAAAAAATTTACCTGCCTATTTAGCATTGCAGCTCTTACGGGGTGTGACAATTAAGTGACTGAGACTGATTCCATTAAAACCGTATATTTAAAAATTATTCTACAACTCTACCATTCCCTCCAAAGTAGTCCCCTTGGCCAGCTCCACAACGATTCCAGCGCGTTTTCCATGCTTCGTAACATTTCTGGAACGCTTCGACTGGGATGTCAGCGAGTAACCTCGCAACGGCCGGCTGAATGTCGTCAATCGACGAAAATGGTTTCCTTTGACAACCGATTTTGTTCTAGGGAACAAACTAAGTCACAGGGTGACATATTGAGCGAATATGGCGGTTGTTGCAACACGGCGATCCCTTTAGAATCCAAATACTCGGACACGCTGAGGCGCGTTGTTGTGATAAAGGATCCGGATACGAGCGATGTCTGTGCGCACCCTCTTGACTCGTTTTCGCAATCTTCCGAGTACTTGGCAAAAGTAGACTTGATTTACGGTTTGCCCCGATGGAAGAAATTCTGTGTGGACGATTTCACGGCTATCAAAAAAGGCAATAATAATCGTTTTCATCTTCGACTTGCTCATGCGAGTTCTTTTCGGGCGGAGGGCGTGCGGAGACAACCATTGTGAGTAAGAGGACTATTTTCATTTTCGTGACGACCACCACGAGCCAACCTTTACTCAACACGCCACAGCAGGCGAACTAAATTAGCTAGAGCGATGACAAATATATCAATGGAGAAGAAGAAGAAGGATGCCGGGAGAAGGGAAAGTGAATTTGAAGGTTGGGTATCACAGGTCACAGGATTACCACAATCGTGGAAATATAATCAGTCTCATTAGTTAAGCCGCGTAGGGCTTTCTCCAGCTTTAACTTGAAGAGTGGCACGATAAAAAGTCATCTTGTTTGAATTCTGGCTTAGTACCGAATGGTTCAGAGAGATCTTTTCTAATTCTGCTTAGCGTCAGTTGGCATTGTGTTGCAGTGTCAGTTTTATGGTGATTCGAAATTCAAATGCAATAAAATCTGGAATATCTGGTCAACGGATTTACAGGGTCAAAAGAAACACTGATAAGATGCTATCAGTTCGTATACACTGGACTACAGTATTTCCCACAATAACCTCCATATGACCTTAAGTGCGATATTGCGGAGGCTGCTCTCACGATAATTGGCTTACGTAGCACAATATTAATGCTTGTTGTTAATAAAATAGCATATATATAGGTCCATTTTACTTAAAATATATACATATGTATATAGAGGCACGAAAGCTGCAAAATATTATGTACAAGTCATTCGAAAAGTCCACACCGTCACAACTTCACTTACCCAGTCGTGTAATTGATCATAGCAGAAACAAACAAAATTATTTACATAGTAAATAATGTAATATATACATACATATACGAATATACATAAATAATTTTAAATAAAAATAAGTGAAATAATCACAGGCTAACGTATGTATATACTATATACAGAAATGTATATATGTATGTATGTATGTATGTATGTATGTACATAAAAAACTCAACAATATCGCGTGGGTTGAGCCGGAAATCTTGCGAACTCCTTGTGTTGACTATTACAACATTTCGCTAGAACTCAGATTTTTCACACAATTCGCAATAACCATTGTATTTTTAGTTTTTTAAACGTAGATTTTTTTTATATTTTTAGCTTTTGGTAAGACATTACGGTTAATATGCAAGACACACCTGTTATTTGTTTTATGTTATAGTTTACAAAATCTCACCGAAATTCTGAAATTTTTTTTTCCTTTAAGACGTGTGGTTTTCAATTAGGCACTACTTTTTCGAAGTTGGTATTTTCGACAGATGTTTTTTGGTTTTGTCCTCAGCTTGGTTTGCTATTTCACAATGGAAAACAGACTTACTACGGAGCAACGTTTGCAAATCGAGTAAATCGTGCAAATTTGATACCTAAATAATGGCTCGGTTGTCGCGACGCAGAATTCGGCCGATTATGTCGAACAGTAGAGCCAGTAATTCGAACAACCATGAATCGGTTTTGCGTCTCTTTTACTCTAATGGATAATGCGTATGCTTAAAGATGCCGTATAGTGTGCTGCTGTGGAACAAAACATCGATGAAGACCCGATTGAATCCAAAAGCCATCGGGCGTAACACTTCATGGAAGCTTGAAGCCGAACGCCCATTGAACGCGTCGCAAAACGAAATAGTCCCCACTGTACAAATTAGTTCAGCGCTGAAGCTCTCTTCTGGCTGATTGGATATGTTAATAAACAAAAGTGTTCGAAATTGTAGTGATGGTAATCCACAAACCATTGTTGAGACACCGTTATATTCTTAAAAAGTCACTTTTTCGGGGTGTTGTTTCTGACATATGAGGTCTAACTATAAAGAAATGAGACTGATTATATTGCCGCAATTGTGCTAACTCTCTGACCTTTAACTTCCCTCTTCCTTCTCCCGGCATCCTTCTCTTTCCTCTCCATTGATATATTTACCATCGATCTAGCTTATTTCGTTCGCCTGCTGTGTCGTGTGGAATAAACGTGTGTTCGCGGTGCTCGTCACGAAAATGGAAACGAAATCAAGAGCAACGCTCGCCAAATTGGGCGAAGCAGTTTCGGAAACGTACACTTAAATTATAAAAGTGCATTGTGATAGTGCTCTTAGTCGTGCCCAGGTGTTTCGATGGCATAAAGAGTTTAAGGAGGGGCGTGAAAGCGTGGAAGACGAGGCTCGGAGCGGGAGACCAGTCGAGGTGTGGACTGACAAGAATGCGTCGCGTGTGCTCTCCAAATCGTTAAGATCGACGTTAAACAGTTTGATTTTTTGTCGTTGGAACTGGATATGAACCGTGAAACAGTCAGACAAGTTTTAATAGACAATTTTGGGATGGATCCTTCATCTCGACAACGCGCCGTGCGACACTGCCCTCAGCGTGTACCAGTATTTGGCCTGTAAAGGGATCGCCGTGTTGCAACAACCGCCTTATTCGCCAGATAAGTCACCCTGTAACTTTTTTTTGTTCCAAATTCGGTGGTCAAATGAGTTCCATTTTGAGGCGATTGAGGACATCCAGGCGGCCGTGACGACGTTATTTGCGGACATCCCAATCAAAGCGTTCCAGAAATGTTACGAAGCATGGAAAACTCGCTGGAATCGTTGTATAGCTGGCCAAGGGGACCACTTTGGAGGAGATGAGAGTTGTAGAATAATTTTGAAATATACGATTTTAATGGAATCAGTCTCAGTCACTTAATTGTCACACCTCGTACGGCGCAATCATTCAAAAAAAGTAGTCGAAAAGTGGACTTATCGGCTGGAATTTATTCAAGCCATCCATGGGGATCACTTCGCCGAAATCACATTAAATTATATGCGCTTTATTTGTTACTGCCACATGTATGACGATGATGTTATATTATATGATGACAAAAATGTTTCCAGCTTGCATTTCCCTTCACCGACTCGTTCGTTTTCCAATGTCAATAGTCTGATTATCGTACTAGTTAAATACTAGCTCATATATGTATGAATAGAGTTTCCACATCGCAAAAGAGAGATATGTTATAATTAAATTTCCTTTCAGTGTGTTTCGCACCGTGAGCCTCGAGCTTTATAGTGACTCCAACTCCAGCTTACTAGAGCGGACCAAACTTGAAAATATCACATACCCGTGGTGTCCTTTTACTTGTAACTACTCCTTGGTGGAGTCCCCCAAATAAGCCATGAGAATTTCAGCAATAAATCACACATTTTGTTTAAACAATTTCTCTTTTTATTAAAACTTGACACATTTGCTTTTTAAAACAAAATTAAAGTTACACAAAAACTAAAAAAAGGAAGCACAAAAATAAATTACATTTATAAGAGTAACCTGAAGGAATTGTTGCAACAATTTTACGCCATTACATACATATTTATTTTTAGATATCACAAAGTGAACGTTCATTTAGAAGGAAGCAAAAGTTTGAGTTTTACGTTTGAGAGTGAGATTGAAATGTATGAAAGAGAAGGGAAATGACATTAGAACGAAAGAAAAGTTTCGAAAGAAAAGTTTCGAAATTTAAATAAAATTTTAAAATTGCAATAAATGTTGAAAAACTGAAAATAAAATACCAACTAAAAATTGATCGCGATCTTAAATTAAAAATTATTCAAATCAAATTAAATTATGAATTAAAAAAAAAAAATGAAAAGACATGCAAAATAAAAACAAGTATTGAAATAACAGTAAAGTAGAAGTTCATATGGAAAATCGCTAGTAGTTGAGAGTAAAACAGAAATGCAAACTATGCGCGCTGGCTGTCAGCCACTCAACTTTCGAGCGCCCACGTCCACGCCAACAAACCACACGTGCGGCCGCACAACGCGCACAGCATTCATAGTTCAGATAGTGTTAGCGCTCACATCCAGTTCTTGTTGTTCTGCCCCCCCGCTCTCCAAGTACCCATATATTTCTTTTACCAACCTCACCACCTTACCACCTCACCACGTCACCGCCACATCACTCGCGCAACGCTTAGACCTTATTGAAGCTGTAGCTAAAACCGTCTGGTGTGCGATTCAGCGACAATTTACCGGGTGGCGCAAAGCGATGTGGATTGGGTGTGGTCGGTTGATAGTAGGGTTGTTGTTGTGGCTGCGGTTGTGGCTGGTAGCTGTTATATTGTGGCGCAGGTGGATTATATGCGGGTGCTTGTGGTGCTGGATTATAGGCTGGCGCCGCTGGTTGTTGATACTGCGGCTGTTGTGGCTGATATGAACCCTGTTGTTGACCAAAACCGGGATCGTTGTAGCGTGGATCATAAGAACCATCATCATAGTCGTTGCTGCGGTAACCGCCCGATTGTGCTGGTGGCTGATATTGTGGCTGCGGCTGATAGCCGGCCTGTGGCACGGGTTGTGGTGGCGCTGGTGGAGCAACGGGCAAGTGATCGCCGCTGGCTTGGAAGCTGTAGAGAGGGCGAGAGGGGGAGAGATAGAGAAAAAGTAATGACAATTAATGTTGGTACTCGAAAGCAAATGAGTTAATTACGGTAATGACTGAATTCTTGCTTAAGCATTTGCTGCTCGTTGGTATGTTTGAATGTATGTTTAAAAATATGTATGTATCTGTTAAGCGAGCAACTTTTTCGCTTCTAGTTAGTAGTGGTCTAATTATTTTTAATTATTTCGTCATAAAAACAAAACAGAAAAATATACATTTGCGCATTCATATGCAAATAACTGTAAGTTAAAAGTTTCTTTCCCAATATTTTCAGACATTTGTAATTGTTTGCATTTACGTTTGTTAACCAATTACTATTTAGCAAAACAATGGTCACAGCTGAGCGCACCAACAACTATAATACTAATAAAAAATCTGCTTTGCTCCACTTCACTTTGTTTCAGCTCACTTTTGCGATAACAGTAATTTATTAATGCTAGTTTTGTGTATTTTTAGATTTCCACCGCCACTTCTCCTCTGCTGTACTCACCCTCACATGGGCGCCTTAGCTGTGTCTGGGGTAACTAACTACAATTATCCAACTACACCCAATGGTCAGCAATCTGAAGGCACAAGTATTTGCTCAATACTCAACGAAATGTCTGTCCGCGTACACAATCGACCACCAAAACGGAGCAACATTTTGCGACACCACAAAAGACATTCACATTTTAGTTGCTGGAAGAGGGCGAGGCTGACTTGTACTTAGGCATGGAGTTAATTATAGAGCACCACGCTTTGGCTAATAAGTCATATTCAAGCTCTATTAATCAGTAGTCAAATCAGTGTATTTACCGGACTTTTTCAAAGCAACGTTGTTTATTTTCCCATTAAAGTAGCTTTTAAAAAGTTAATTTTTTTTAGTGCTTAAATATGTACACATATATAAAGTGTATGACACTCTATAGCCGCTAAAATGGTTTACAGCCGAACTTCTGCTTTATCTTGTGGTGTGATTCTCGAGGTTTGATCAATAAAGAGATGGATTTACAGTTTTAAGTCTCATTCGATTCGAACGATTTATGAGTTCCTTTGTAGAGCTTTACAAATCAGAAAAATTTCCGGAGCGGTAGTCGAACCCTCCCAAGAGAATACTGCATTAAACAATTAAAAAAGGAAGCTTTTCAATAATTTTGAAAATGAGTCTAGCCAGATCATGATTCTCCGACCATGTCGCAGTAGTTGCCAGAGTTTAGTGGCTTAAAGAGGTGATGGATTCAATGTAAATGGCAAGGTTTTTATGTTACTTGAGAACTCTAGCAGAATGGTTTCTCTTCTAATGAGTATTTTTTTCGGAAATTCCCAACAATGCAAAAATAACAGTCTTTACATTAATGTAATGTACAGCCTGTAGTGGACAAAACATGACACGCAAACAAACTGCATACATAACAGTTACTCTCTTGCTCTACTCTTTGAGAGTGAGTTTCGTTTGGCAATTAAAACAACTCTTTCGGCCTCAGGCGAGAAATTATAACATTCAGATGAAAGCGTATGTTTCTCCTAGGTAACTACGATAATCAATCGATGGAGTGGAGTACCGCAGGCACCTCGTGAGGGTTAGGGGTTCAGGAATTTACTCACGCTAAGGCATGTCTGTCGTAAGAGGCGACTGAAATCCAATAGTTCTCACGACAGTCGCGTCTGTATACCGGAACGATACCGATTTTTATTCAGCCAAGGACTGTCACTCCCGCAATATTATCAATAAACTAATTACTACAACAACAATAATACCGCAGCTAGATCGTTTTTATGGTTATATTTTAGTATCTAGTAGAAATATTCGAAGTTAATTTTTCTACTACTATTTCTGTCATTTAATCGAGTTCGAAGAAGAGATGCATAATAATGCTCTAAGTCGTCTTTTTACTCCTGGGTGTGAGACTTAAAGAACGTTTCAAGTTGAATTTTGGAGACAAATTGGGTGAGTTCAACTGGAGTCAACTCTCTATCAGTCTTCAACTTTGTACTTTCAATAATTCCAACACTCTTTAAGAGCAGGTTACAGATAGAGTGAAGGTATATTAAAGCTTGCATTCGAATCCACCACTCACATCAGATGGTTCTTTTGGAAAAGACCTGCTTTTCAGCTCATCGGCTTTCGGTATGGTAACATTTGACTTTTTACTTCTGTTTATATTTTGTTTTTCACAAATTCAAATCTCCTTCTTTTTTCTTTAATTCATTTATGCAGTTATTTATCTGTTAACTTTACTTGTTTTTCACATTTTTTTCTCTTTCTACTCACCCATTTTTGCCAGCTGTGTAGGAGATTGTACGTCTCTCACCCGTTGGATCTACATAACTGTAGCTACCGTGACGTGTACCATCAGCATCGGTTTCCTCTTTGAAATTAATGCCATCCTCTTGTGTGTAGGCAGCACCGAACTTTCCATCGCCAGCCAGGTAACGTTGTTCACTAATAATTGCCGCTGTCTTGGGATTTTGATTGTAACCCTGACTCGCAGCGATGGCTAATAAGGTGCTTAAAATGAACTGTAGAAAAAGAGAGGAAGAGAAAGGGATACAATTAGATTAAGTGAGAGCAGAGCATTGAAAGCTAAAGCGTATAGTTTTTGTATATTTATAATGTATATATGTATATATTATATATATTATAACATTATTTTCTTTATATATAAATATATTAAAATACATACACGTATTAAAAAGTTTTCGAATAGGTGGTTTAAATATTATTTTTTTACTAATTAAATTCTTAAATATGCATTGATTGTGATGATGTTTAATATATTTAATGAATATTTATTTTCAAAAAATTATGCAGCATCACAATCAATGCTTATTTAAGAATTTTATTATTAAACAAAATAATATTTAACTTTATTTTTTTTTAATTTATGTATTATAAACTCCTTAATTTTTTTAAATTGGCGCTTTCGGCTTAAGCTCTGTAAAAATGTTCTTAAAAATTTATCAACAATTTATAAATCATTAAATCATTAAAAAATTTTGGAAAAATTTTGATGAGAATTTTTTTTTCGGAATTATTGTATGAATCAAATTAAAACAAAAAATTATTCAGAAACTTAATTTTATATTTAGTGAATAAATTTATTTAATTGCTTTCAGCAAAAAATTAAGAAAATTCTATATTACTAAACATAATTTTTAAATTTATAAATAATTTATTATGATATTATATAGAATTTTAATATATATAATTTAAATATATAATCAAAAATTATTTTGCAGTCGTTTGTGTTAGAAAAATGAGATTAAAAATATTTAAAAATAATTAATTATTTAACTAATAATTGTTTTTTTGTCAAACTAAATTAGCAAAAATTTCGCAATTTTTCTGAAAAAAAAGTTTAAATTATTATTTATTACTTATTTTATTTTTAATTTTTTTTATATTTTTAATTTTTTAATTATTAATTATTTGTTATATCATCTGTTTTTTATTCTTTAGTAATTTTTTTCTTTTATCAATTAACAATTAATGATTTTCTTGGGTCATATAGTATACATATATCTTGTTTTAAGTTTGTGTGTGCAAAGAGTGCAAAATTAATATTTTTTAAACGAGTTTTTAATTCTTTACTTTCAATAACTGCAACTTCAGGTTGAGATTTAAATATAAAATTTTTAATTACCTAACGTAGTGCATTAACTTATGGCATTTCTAAGTCAACCGAAATAATTAATTTATTAGCTATTAAATTACATTAAAGATTTTAATTAAAGAAAAATATCTAAAAAATATCCAGGCGAGGTTGAATCCTCTTGCATTAATAATTAATATTTTTTTAGAAATTTTATTTATTTTATGTGTGAAAAATTTACTAAAAATAATATTATTTTATGCTTGTAATATTTACTAAAAATAATAACTAAGAAATACTTTTTAAACTTATTTAGGTTAAAAAGTAATAATTCTATTACTATCTTTCTGTATTTTATTTTATTTCTTAATTATACAATTTCATTAAATTTCGTAAATATTACATTAAAACTTTGTTGCTATGTAATTAAATTTCACAATTTTTTTTTATCAAATTCTTTTTATTAAAACTCTTATTAATTTGCCACAAATTCACTGATTTTTTTTTTTGTATTTTTTTATATCCAAAAAAGTTTTCACACTTTGAAAAAAAAATTTTGAACACACTTTCTAAAAACATATACTTTATATAAAATATTTTTCAGTTGAACTTACAAAACGGAACATTTCAAAAAATTTTTTTGTATGATTAAAATTATCCTCAGTATATGACAATGTAAACTGCTGCTTTAATCCAATTGATTTGGTGAGAAGAAGAAGAAGAAGAAAATTTCGTGTAGCCTATACAATTGTCGCGCACACGTTAGTCCGATACCGTAAGCGGTTACTAAGTAATTTTACTAAACTGGACTTGACTTTAATGGGGATTGGGGTTTGTGTTTATTCAAAACCGACAGCGACAAACTTCTTACACGAACTGCTTCTCAACATAACTTGGCCAAGAGTTTTTATAGCCACCCAAGACCACGCCACTACATGCCACAGCACCGCAGCACCGCAGCGCCACCGCATACCAAGCAACCGAGCAACAGAACCTTGGCGGAGACCAAGTCAATCAGTTTGACTTGTATTGTTTTTGCTGCTGTACTTGTTGTTGTTGTTAATAGTAGTACGAGTACATGTAGCTATTTAACTTTAGGTGCTCGCATATGTACGCATTTTGTTTTTGCACAGCAGCAGCTGCCGTGCACACACACGCACACATACATACACGTGTAAATAACAGCGTTTGGGTGTTGGAACGCCAATGAAGAAAAATACAATCAATAAATATATGTATGTATGTTTGTATGCCCGCATGTATATTAACAGTCAAACGAAAGAAACAACATAAAGTTAAGCATAGAGCACAACAACTAAATAATAACAATAACAATAACAAGCGTAATAGTAGTAACCCTAGCAGAAATGCGCAACTATGTTTATATGTATGTACCTATGTATTTGTGTACATTAAGTGCTCCAATAAGTTGATTTGAGCATGCAGAAAAAAAAAATAAAGTAAAAGAAACAAAGAAAATATGGAAAATAATAAACCGGAAAATAACAACAATCATAATAAGCGAATAAGAAAGCGCAAAATGCGTTTGTTCCACAATTAGCGTAACTAAATTTTATTCGGAAACGAAAAAAAAAAATTAAAAAAATTAAATTAAATTAAAATTAATATTCAATACTGTTTTTAAGTCAATATGAATATATATGATATTTATATATGATATTTATATTCCAGAATTAGAGAACAAAAACAAATATTAATCGCCAAAAGCACTTCATTGTTTTGCCAAATATTCTTCTTTAAGATCTATGCACTTTTGCTTGCGTTCCAAAACTTGTGAAGACAAAACCTTGTGGTGGGTTTTCCTTAATTTGCAGTAGTCGCGCTTGCTAATATATGAAAAAAAAAATAGAACTTAAACAATCAATGAGATCAAAAATAAGCATCTAACCGAGGTGGAGGAATGGGTGAGTCCTCTATGACACACGCAGCAGAAATAATCCGTCGGTCCATGTTGGTTCTACACCGCACGACACTAACCACCTCTTCACATGCTCTCTAAAACCCACTCATCTAACCCCCCTCTCCCTTTAGTCCAACCCCGTGGAAACAGCGCGTTTCCTGGACGTACCACTAGATGACCTCGGCGACTTAGACTGATCAAACCTGTGCCTAAGCGGGGTTAGAAAACTGCTACAACAACAACAACATCAACAATAAGCCGTCAAATAGTTATTTTTTTAACGATCTCTTGCAAGCCAACGTTAAGCGATCAACGCTAAAATACCCCATGCCACAAGCTCTGTACAACGTTTTCTACCTTTGTTTATTCTTATCGGATATATGCTGCAGTAACTGGTGCCGCCTGACCGCTCGCTTTACTAGTTTCTGAACATTTTCCAATATACAAATATAGTAAATATGTATGTATGTGCATGAATCGAGTGGCCAGTACGGGAACTAAATACCAACCGTCACACTTGTAAATGCGAATTTTTGTTGTTCTTGTAACTTTGGTGTGGCTTGCTTCGTTTGACTATACGGCATTAACTATATACATACTTTTAAAAACTATGAATGTATGCGTGTATGCGGTGATGTAAATAAAAGTGAATTTCTTTAACAATCGAAATGAAATCAAGTTGGAGGAGTTCTTTGCTCAGCAGCATTCTTTTATTTTTATTATACAATCGCGTATTTGCGCATGCGCTGCATTGTGGCCACGTGATATTCGAGTTGTGCATTTCAAAAAAAATAGACATACATACATATATGTATGTACGTATTGATTATATTGTTAGGTGATATTTCCGTTAATTATTTATTTTATTATTAAATTTTTGCTTGCAGAGCGATGAGTGTGTGAATTGCAATGGTCACGGAATCATCACGCTCGCTCTCTTTTCAACATTTAGAACAAAAGACTTAAGAAACGAACTTGGCACAGGTGGGCCATTGTGGGTGAAACTTCCATACATATACATACATGTTAACGTGCCGTCATATGCGATTTGTTTTCAATTATTTACTTCACATATATGGTTGAGTGATTGCTCTCATATTCTCTCCCATATTTATATGAATACATATACACATACATTTACTTATGTATGTATATAAATATAATTATAATTATTGCTTTCGCAAATTAAAATTTTTATTAACAAATATTTCAATTTTTAATGCCAAAGGCCAAGATTTCGCAAATTGATTTTATATTATATTTTTAATTTATTTTTCTTTTTTGCTGTATCGAAGCTGATGCAACTTGCTCCAAATCAAATGTAATCTAATTTAGTTTTGGTGTTTTTCTTCTGTTTCTTTTTTTTATTTTTATTTTTTGGTTTTTTAATTTCAACACCATTACAAATCGTTGCTGGCGTGCTGATAGTTAAAATGATGTAAATCTAACCTATTGATTAAAGGCCAACAGCAACAATACATAAGGGACAAGCCCAAGTGGTGAGGTGGAAAGGGAAGCCAAAAATATTTGAAATAAAAATTTAAGGAAATGGTTTTTATGAATGGAAGTCTTTTGTGTTCAAAATTTTAATTAATACCAAAATTCAAATATATTTATTGGACTTAATTAGACTGAGTTCGCAAATAGTTGAAAGGGAGCTGCGGCATATGAATTAGTGGAAATATTTGTAAATAAAGTTTCAGTGGGAACAGATTCTGCAACTGCTTTTATTTAGTAGTTATAAGCGTTTTGTAGCGTGTTCAATTAAATTGAGTGTCCGATTTTGCTCATAATCGGATAAATATTTAGTCAACTAAACAAAATTTTATGGTTCGAACCAAATGATGTGAGCTGAGTTTGAAGAAGTTGGATTGGACTGGACAGCTCTGTATAATATAAAAAAATTTAATAAAACAAAAATACTAATTGAGGAAAATTAAAAACGAACGGAAGGGAAAATATCTAAAAAAAGAGTTGCCACCTTTTTCAGTTGAAAAGGGTTAAATTAGAAAGTATTGTGAAAAAAATTCGTCGAGTATTGAAGTTAAAATTTCATGAAATAATTTAAGATTGAATAAAATTAAAATATTCGAAATGCTTAAATGAAATAATTACTGATGAAAGTTGCCACCTATTTCAAGGCTTAAACCCAATGAAATTGATAAGCTGAAGAATTGCAATATGGGTATTTATGCTATCTTGAAGACTTAAGGGCGCGCTCAGTGACAAATATTTTTGAAAAGAGTTGCCACCTTTCACAAATTTTTAAATAAATTGTCTTTAAAAATCAAAATATTTACTAATGCTTGTAGTAGAAAGCATTTTGTAAATCGAATTTGAAATTATTATTGATTAGTGCTGCCACCGTTCCGTTACAGTCATGAGATAAATAAAATATTTGGTTGTACTTAAAAAATAGCGTATTGAATGAACCTTTTATTATTTTGTGAAAAGTAAAAAAAAAAAAATTTCTCAAAGATATAATAATGAGTCTATCATAAACTTAAATATTTTGAAGCCTAAGAGTACAAGCCAAATTTTCAAATATTTTCATATATTTTAAATATGTACAAAACTCAAGAAAATAATTTCGAATACAAATTGAGTAATTTTTTTTTACCTAAATTTTCTCTTTCTTATTCGATACTGTGAGAATAATTTATATAAATTGGTAATTTTTTCCCTATAAGCTAATAGTTGTAATACTACATATATATAGGATACTTTATATACTATTTCACTAAAAGTGGATAAAACTGCCTTGCAGACTTCGTACCAGAAAATTAAAATTTTCCAAAACTAATTATGAAACAAAATTACGCTTAAATATCCTTGTGAAAATACATAAAAACGACAATGTCTATAAACTAACTGTTTAATAAAAACCAAAAACAACAATTTGTCTATTAAATATATATAAAACAATAAACTCGCCTGCGGGCCTGAACTGGTTCTAAAAAATGGAAAAAATAAAGGAAAGTGAAGGGTATTAAAATAAATCACAATAATGTCCGGTTAAAGCAAATAAATATATACATATACATTTTCAACCTATTTGACATGCAAACGTATAAAATATATATAAACAAAAAAAAATAGCAAAATTTTTTTAGTCACTTGACAATAAGTTTTTGGTGTGGCCACAAGAATGTAAAAAATAATATATAATATAAAAAAGCCAATGGAAATTAATTAATAAAATTTCAAATAATGCAAAAGCTGACTGAGACACAGATACACATAAATATTCGTTAATAAAATTGATTAAAGAATGGCAGGTAGATAAATTTATTAAATATTGTCTAATTGTTATCGAGTTTGCATATATTATTACACGTATATACGAACATATGTGTGCACATATTATATGTATATATACATATATTTGCAACATATGCTAATAAAGTTCAATTTTTCTCTTACTTCGGCTAGAGTTCAAACACATTTTGTTTTTAATTCCAACACAAGGCTTGGTAGTCAATCAAAAATATATACAAATTTACATTAATATATATTCAGTCATATATGTTTGCTGATAGTTCAAAATATGCACTCATACATATATATATATTAATCTCCACACATATTTGTTATAAATATTTTTATTAGCAATGTTGTAAAAGTTTCAATGTTTTTGCTCTTTTATATTTCTTAAGCGTTTAATGCAACAAGTTTTGCCGGTTTTAATGCTTGTAAGTAATACTTATTCAATAATTTTGTACCTCATAGATAAGTATATACATTTGTATGTATGTATGTGCCCATGCAATCTAACTAGTAAGTTGTACTGCCGACGCTCAGTGCTGAGATATGAGTAATGCCCACCCAAAAGTAGTAAGCTTGAACCAAAAGCGGTTACTTGTATTGGTACTTATACATATATACACGTATGTACATATGCACGTAGATGCATATTTTTTAAGAAATAAGCACATATACCCAAGGTAATTTAGCTGACAATAAATAAT